GGTTTGAGTCTGCAATTCTCTAATTGTTCTCATAGTGACGCATTTTTCTACAGACAATTTTCTGTTTTTGTTGTTATTTGGAACAATGGAAACAGGCAGGAGATGAGAATGCAGTTCACAACAATTGCTACCCAGTGGTTCCCACTTGGCTGCATGTTGCTTACCATCAACTCAGGGAACTTTTAGAAACCAGGACACCCCAGTTCCATGGAACTCAGGCGCTCAGTACATTTTAAATCAAATGATGCCCCAGGCAACCGGTTTGAGAACCACTGTTTAGACGATCATGGAGTTACAACTGGGTTTGAAGGGAATTGAAGGAGGGAAGCGGTCTGAGCTCCATCATAGGGGGTAATCAGAATTAAGCTGTGTTGCCAGCCTTACTCGCACCTAGTGTGTTAAACAACCCTGCCTTGACCCTGAATCTTCCCCTGTTGCCTACACCTTGCCTGTCTCAGTCTTTCCATACTGAAATGCCCCTAAGAAAGATCCCTGACCTAACCTGTCTTGTATCTAGTCTGATTAGTACCTCACCACTTCTTTGTGTGTGTGTGTGTTTCTGATCCTTTTCTCTGTGGAACTAAATCTTTCTTTCTGAACCTCAAATTGTAGCTGAGGTTGAACTGTCAATGAATAACTGACTATTTTTTCCTTTGGAGACAGTCTCACCCAGCTCCCCCAACCCCCCAGAGCCAGAGTGTAGAGTGCAGTGGCCTTATCATAGCTCACAGCAACCTCAAACTCCTGGGCCTGAAGCGATCCTCCTGCCTCAGCCTCCTGAGTAGCTGGGACTACAGGTGCACGCTATGAAGACTCAGCTAATTTTTCTATTTTTGGTAGAGACAGGGTCTCACTCTTCTCAGGCTGGTCTCGAACTTGCAAACTCAAGCAGTCTCCCCTCAACCTCCCAGAGTTATACCACAGGCGTGAGCCACCACCCGCCAAATAACTGACATTTTTATATGTTAATCAAGAGGCACAGCAACCCACTTCATCTCAGTGTTTTGATCAGCACTTGGGCACACCAGCCCACTTGGTCTGACCTCTGTGAATCCAGTGCTGCCTGGGCATCAGTATTTGCTGGAAGCCCCTGGCTGGGTTGGTCTTTCCATAGCTTTAGTCACAAAGACATCTATCTTCCACCCTCAGCAAGCACAGCACTGCTCTAGCTTCTTCTTTCTTCTTTTTTTTTTTTTTTTGAGACAGAGTCTCACTCTGTTGCCTGGCTAGAGTGCTGTGGCATCAGCCTAGCTCACAGCAACCTCAAACTCCTGGGCTCAAGCAATCCTCCTGCCTCAGCCTCCCGAGTAGCTGGGACTGCAGGCATGCGCCACCATGCCTGGCTAATTTTTTCTATATATATTAGTCGCTCAATTAATTTGTCTTTCTATTTTTAGTAGAGACAGGGTCTTGCTCTTGCTCAGGCTGGTCTCGAACTCCCGACCTTGAGCGATCTGCCCACCTCGGCCTCCCAGAGTGTTAGGATTACAGGCGTGAGCCACCATGGCACCCAGCCTTGCTCTAGAGTCTTTAAGGCTATTCAGTGCAAGTGAATGCGCCTCATGTCGATGCTGTGGCAGCGATCCCCAGCCTTTTTGGCAGCAAGGACCAGTTTCATGGAAGATTGGTTTTCCACGGACTGGGGTTAGGAGTGGGAGTGAGGGGTGGAGCTCAGGCGGTGATGCGAGCTATGGGGAGGCTGCTCACCTCCTGCTGTGCAGCACCCACCCCCCAAGCTTCATGGAAGACAATTTTTCCACCCCCGGGGCCGGGGGTGATAGAGCTCTGCAGCCTGGTCCTTACAGGCTGCAGGCGGGTAGCAGGGGTTTGGGGACCGGAGCCGCATTGGGTAAGACTAATTCCAGCATCAGGGAAAAAGAGCTCTTTTTCACTTATCAGACTTTTTTCTTTTTTACATTTTATTTTCCACCAGCTGCAAACCAAGTCTGCCTTATCCGTGGTGATAACCATATTAATAATGATGAGAATAATTCACTTTCATGGGATCCTTTTTGTATCTACATAACATATTAAGTCTTTCACAAATGCTGTTTAATGCTAACAGCCTACAACATAGTTATTATATTTATGCCCGTTTTTCAGACGAAGAAGCAATGGATTGGATAGTTTCTTGACCAAGGTAACATGGTTAATAAATGACAGTGCTAAAGGATTCAAGCCTAGAATTGTTGAATTCCCAGGGCCTGAGCCGTTGACCATGTAGTGTGAAAACTGTATTTCTTTAAAAAACAAGGCCTTAAAAAATCTCGTCCGCATTCCATTTATAGCTCTGTGTTGCCACTCTCTGCCATTGCCATCTGCCTTTTCCTTGAGCACCGCTGACCAATTGAGTGTTCCCAGATCTGTGACAACTGCCGGTTTTGCTACGTACTGTTCCTTGGGTTTGAGAATGTTGCTCTCTCCTTCAAGGTGAACTCCCACTCACAATTTTCAAGCCTCAGTTCGGATGTCAAACAATTCTGTGTGAAGCCTTAACTGAGCTCCCACGTCAGTTAATTGCCTTTTCTCTGTGTTCTTACAGCACTTGGTAAATATCTCGATCACAGCGTTCATCTCTTGATAGCTAGTAACTTTTGATGGTTTAATTGACATCTGTGAGCCTCGGCTTCCTCACCTACAAAAATAAAGGTAATCAAAGAATCTGTATCAGAGGCTTATGAAAATTAAAGGAGATAATGAATATAAAATATTTAACTGCATATTATATAGCAAGCATTTTTAAAATATTAACTATATTTCCTTACCATCTTGTTGTACTACAACTTCTTAAAATATTTTTCTCACATCACATGGTTGCTTTCTATGAGGGCGTGCATGATGACATATATTTTGTATTTCCATATTTTGCAAAGTGCTAAGCCCAGAATGGAAACCTGTGAGCTCATGCAAGTTACTTAACTCCTCCATCTCTAAAATGATGAGCCTCATATGGCTGATATGAGGATCAAGAGAAAACATAAAACTGATTAGCATAGAAAGCTTTTAGTAAATGTCAGCAACCATCGTTATCTAATAGGTTTGAGTAAATGGATTTATGCATTTAGGTGGGCAGAAAACTCTTTTCACATCACTAGTTTCTTTTTCTTATACTGAGATGACGGCAAGTCACAGCTGTCCTTGCCTGCAAGCTCACACATAGATAGACCTCTTTGTGTGATGGGACATTGCAAGTTTTTAGATTGTGTCTTATTAGTACCTGATTCCTGCTGTTGCACAGAGAGTATGTCAAGTGTCGATTACTGAGAGACCTCCCAAATCTTGCTTGCGTGTCTCTCCTGACAAGAGGATAAATGCTTTCCATGGAGCCTTTCTTCTGTTCTGCACTGGACTTGTGGCCATCTGTCTGCAAGTGCAGGGCATGACAGAGGCAGGGTAAATAAGGTGCTCCCCTGTGGATTTTAGTAATCCAGCTATTACTAAAGGCCAAAGCAGGGCTGGATAGTGGACCTGGTATTCTTCATTTCTAGTAGATCCTGCAGATCCTGGAGCAGCAGAGGTTAGACATGGGAATGAAAGATTGATTTCATTTAGGGATAGAGGCAATCAAAATAATGTTTTCTAGAATAACCAAATAAATTAATATGGAGATTCCTCTTCTCCTTTAGACTGAAAAGAGGAGCCTATATTTGTTAGATCCTTCCTTCACCTCCCATTTACTTCTTAATCCATGGATGGCTTTTTCCAACACTTGATAGAGTGTTTCAGCAATGGTTGCCTCTCAAGAAAGAAAATAAGATATAAAAAATCTCTGCCGGAGAAATGCATGCAAGTCCTGCTTTGTTTGCAGAGTTGATATACTACAGCACATGATAGTCTCAGAAGGGAATATGTGAAGTTCTGATTTCAAAAGTTTTTCATTTTGAACCCAAATAATTGATAGATTAACATATATGATATCTGCTACTTTTCTTGGTTAAATATCTACTTTTCTATGTTGTTCATTTATCATTCATTTTTACATCAAACAAACAGCTGTTTCTCTTCAAATGTTGCTCTACGCAGGTTCAGTTCTGGCTTGAGGTGCTAGTATTAACCCTTTTCTTCTATTAAAAACACTTTTAATTGACAAACAAACTTTTTCTTCGAACTGACTCCCCAGCTTCTCAAACTCTATCATGTCTTTTGTTACTTTTGACAAGAAACTTCTCCAAGCGTAGATCAAATTAATTAACTGCACTATTGAATCAGCTACCAATTTCTCATCTCCTCAGATTTAGCTTTCTATCCCAACAAGTGAACTGAAACTAATATGATACATTTTAGCTACATTGCTTCATCCATTAAAGTTTATGTTGACATTAAAAAAAAAGCAAGCAGCTCAAGGCTGTGTGTCTATAAAAATTAAATTAATAATTAAAATTATTAATTAAGGAAAATGGGACTTTTGGAGTGTGACTCATACTAAAGAAAAAGAAGCAATGAATAGAAATAGTGCATGGCCCAACTTTGTATACTTTTGTGTGCAAAGTGCAGTGGATTTCACTGGAGAGCTATGGTAAGTATGACCAAAGAACTAAAGGAGACTCTGCTTAAATAAAGTGTAAAAGTCATTGCTTACCAAATGGAGAATATTCATAAAGAGATAGAAATTATATAAAAGAATCAAATGAAAATTAACTAGAGGAGCTCCATAATAGAGTTGAGATGGCAGAAGAGAGACTCCATGAAATTGAATATTGATGAATAGGAATTATCCATGAAAAACAGAAAGAATGAAGGAAACTGAATAGAGCCTCAAGGACTGTGGCACAGCAGTAAGCATATTCAATGTATGGGAGTTCCAGAAGAAGACAGACAGACAAGACAGAAAAAATATTTTCAGAAATAATGGCCAGAATTTCCCAAGTTTTATGAGAAATATCAGTCTGTATATTCAAGAAGCTCAACCAACTGCAAGTCAGATATACACAAAGAGATGTATGCCTAGACACATATAATCAAACTGTTGAAAGAAAAAGAGGAAATCTTGAAAGCACATGAACAAAATAGACAAATTGAAAACATTTGTTAGAGATTATTATTAGGCTCTTTTGCAGAAATTGACTAGCTGACCCAAAAATTTAAATGGAAATTCATGGGACCCAAAATTACCAAGCTGTTTTGAAAAAGAACAAAGGTAGAGGACTTAAACTTCTTGATTTTAGAACTTAATATAGACCCATAGTAATCAAGGCATTGTGATATTGGCATAAGGATGAATGCATAAAACAAGGGAACAGAATTGAGAGTCTAAAAATAAATTCTTAAAATTATGGCCAATGATTTTACGTACACAGGAACCTTTTGTAAGCACCAATGATTTATTTAGGTATTAAGCATAAATTTTATAGTTTGATCGTGTCAGGACTCATAGAATGGTAGAAAGTACCAATTTCTGTAAGTCTACTTAAAATAGAGTTATGAAGTGTTGTACAATATCATATACTTGGTTATTTTCTAAAGAAAATGTACTTCTAAAGAACTATGTACTTCAACATATAGAAAAGAATGTCCTTAAAATGGGTTTCTAAGTCAGAGAATTTTTCAGACAGGATATGTAGGAGTTTCACTTTACTTGATAAAGTTAAACATTAAAATACTAAAAAAAATAGCACAGTGTAATGAAAACTAGAAGATTAAGTAGTATGAATGTAATTGAGAATATGGGGGAAAAAGTAATTAAGGAAAAGACTATTTGGTGAAGTTTAATCTTTGCTGTAAATCTATACATGACTTCCTCTAAAGAAATGAGAACAAAAGGGACTGAAGCAGATTCAGCTAAAATATTATGTATGTGTTTTAAGTGCTCTTCACTCTAATTCATTTGTTGCATAAAAAAAAAAAAACCACTTCTCGATTTTTGCAAAATGACCCTTTAATGAAAATCTTAAATTGAATAATTCTGAAACATCCTTTAGCTCTCCATAGCACTCGGCTGGCAATAAATAATACATTTTGAAGCACTCTTATTCCCCTTTAAGGAAAAAAAAAAAAGGCCAAATTACTTCAAGTTTTCCTTTTGTAGAAAAGAAAAGCATTCTATTCCTTCTGTTCCTCCATTTGTATGTGGACATGATAATGAAACATACAACATAAGGCTCCCATTAACTAAGCCAAACTTCCCATGATTGTAAAACACTGCGTCATCGGTCGGGCTAATCTGGCTGCCACCTTTAACGTCCCTACTCCACAGATTTTGCTAGATTTGGGGACGTCTCCTGCTTCCTCTCCTCATCATTACATGAGTGTTGGAATGAAAGTGTTCATTTTACAAGAGCATAAATACTAATTTGCACCTATGCATATTTAATTTTCAGAGCATTTTCACAGAAATATTGCCTTACTTTGTTCATTTAACTTGCTGAAGCTGGTGGGACTAATCCCATTTAATAGCCTGGGAAATGGATCACTGGCTTGGTTAATATCCTACCTATAACTACATGCTCATCCCAGAATTAGCAGCCACATCTCACTTCCAGATATTCACCTTATTTCTGGTTTCAGAAATTATTAAATCAAAAAATTATTTAAATCAGAAAATTATTTCTGATTTCAAGGACATTTTCTGAAACAGAAGACACATAAAAACGTAAATTATTGTACAGAGGAAAGGGAATGAAATTAGGCAAAACCCAACCTAAGTTTGAATTATCAGTGTCCTTATCTATAAAATGAAGCTATTTTATATTTTCAAGGTTGTGATGAGGATTAAATGATATAGTTCATATTTGCAACATTTAGCATTTTTACCTAGTTCATGGGGAGACCCTCAACAACAGTAGTGAATAATAAAAATAATAATCTAACTGTGATTTAAGTAAGGCTATCATTAAATAAAGGGTACTGTACCACTGCTAGGAGCTGCTAAGCTTGAGTAAAAACTGATTTTGAAGATGCTATCTTTCTTATAAGAAAAGTTATCCATTAAAAAAATAGTCTACTGTATGCCAGCCACTGTGCTAATGCTATAGCTGCAGCTGTGGGAAAGAGTCCCTGTTCTTGGGCAGCTTACCTTTTAGATGGGACTTTCAGCATTTGCAGCCTGGTCTGTTCCTACAATGTTCTTCCACCAAATAAGTGTACTTTTATCAGAAGCTCAGAAGTGGAATTAATTCAGCACTCAGTATTTGCTGAGTGAAGGAGGATGGACAGAGAGAAACTTGGGATTCACTAGAGTACAAATCAATCAGTGCCAGTGACCCTGAATCCACATACTGTGAACTTAAACTCAATGAGAGAAAAATCCTCTGATAAAAAGTTACTACTGGCAGGGCATGGTGGCTCACTCCTGTAATCCTAGCACTCTGGGAGGCCGAGGCAGGAGGATTGCTCGAGGTCAGGAGTTAGAAACCAGCCTGAGCAAGAGCAATACCCCATATCTACTATAAATATAAAGAAATTAATTGGCCAACTAATATATATATAGAGAAAAAATTAGCCGGGCATGGTGGCGCATGCCTGTGGTCCCAGCTACTCTGGAGGCTGAGGCAGAAGGATCGCTTGAGCCCAGGAATTTGAGGTTGCTGTGAGCTATACTGATGCCATGGCACTCTAGCCCAGGCAACAGAGCAAGACTCTGTCTAAAAAAAACCAAACACGAAGTTACTACCCATATCATCTACTTATTATACCTGGTGCAAAAAGCGCTC